TGAAAAAAATAGGTTGATGACGAAATTGAGAAAAAAAAGTGAAAATTTTAGTTGAGATAGTGTTTTTGAAAGAAAAATTGAAAACTGCGGATCAGAACCCAATTAAGAAAAATTATACCATGTAGGGCCACCCAGTCAGTAGTCTCGACAAAACAGAGTGCGCCGCGTGGCAAGGCACGCTGACTCGGTGCCATGCAGGAGGCCACTCGGGCTATAGGCGTGTTCCGTGATCAAACAGCCTAGAAGCGTTCCTTCGCACGTGGACGGTCTGGATCCGTTCCCTCCTCTGGGGTGATCGGATGATCGCAATTAAACGTGATGAACGGTTCATATTTGATCTCTCTTTAAACGCGATCGAAAGGTCGAGATCAAATCGCGATGAACGGTCCAGATTTATTTTATCTTTAAACGCGATCGGACGGTCGAGATTAAACGCGACGAACATCCATGATTTATGCGAAATATGTATAAATATTTCACATCACATTGAACCCAAACACTAGGTGCCAGTCCCCCGCCGGAGAAGAAGAACCAGTGGCTGGAGAAGAGAGCCGCCCTCCATTCGCCGCCGCGCCAGAGCCATCTTTGACCGCCAAAAAAGGTAAAAAAATTTATATCCGCTCGAAATTTAATTTCGAGCAACCCCATGGCCAAATCGAAGTAAAAAGAACGGCGGATGAGCCAAAAATTATGGGTGAAGCCCGGCGGCACCGCTGCAGGTGAAACCCACAACCGCCTCCGATGAGCCGCTTTCCATTTCCCATTTCATGCAATTTTTTCACCGTTTTTTCACCAATCTATTTTCTATAGGTTGACCAACGAAAAACACCCAGTTGCGAAGGTGAGCCGGCAGAGCTGCTACATCAGAAAATTCCACCACTAGTAGGTTTCTATTTTTTGATTTTTTTTACCAACCGAGACCCCCTAATGTGTTTTCTCGCAGAGATTGGTATAAAAATGGACAAAACAGCCAAAACTGGTCAAAAATAACTAAGTCGAGGCAAACTACCATTGTAAGTGGCGGTGCCATCACCAGAGCACGGCAGTGCCACCGTGCCGAAATCTCAAAATTAGTTAGAAAAGAATTTTTAACACCGATTTTGAATTTTTAGAGTATTTTTAGGTACATGAAACGTGTTTTAATTTTCGCAGAAAAATTCAGGAAACTCGGGGACCGCTAGTAGACGTAATAGAAAGTTCAATATTTTGGACATCGATTCGAGTAAGAATCCCTCACTTTATTCTCTGTTATGGAATTGAAGTTTAATAATCGATAATATGGTATTTTGTGTAATTTAAAAAAATTCGAGAATAATTACAGGTTATTAATGGAGCCAAAACCAGTTAGTTCTTTATTTGTTCTGTTTAACTGATTGTTGAATTTACAGCGTTAAATACATGATGATATATTGAAATGGTTGAATGATTCTGTTGTGCTTCCTTAATGTATATATTACTTGTCGTGCGTAATTTACAGTTGATTTGTGAAATTTGAAATTAATATGAAACGAAAAATTGTTTGGTTATATGAATTAATGAATGGTAACCTTATTGGATATCCTGAGAGATGGTGGACAGATCGAGTATATAGGGAGCCCTACCGTGAACGTTGCTTCATACCAGACGGAGTATCGAGAAATGATATTTTTAGTGCTCTTATCAGACGGGGTATAGAGATGGCCCGATTCACCCTCATACCGGATGAGGTATTGAGGGATAGTATTTTTGGCACTCATGCCGAATGAGGTATAGAGACGGTCGGTTAGTTGATAATGTTAAATATTGGTTCACGCGTAGTAGGACATCCTTATGAGCCCCCAAAGATATCAGTAGACAAATAAAAAAGAAAAGTAATTATTCTTTCTCATTTGAAAATGAGATTGGAATATTATTTGAGTTATTGTCTCTATAAGTTTATTTTGAAAATCTCGAAATGGTAAATATATGCAATAAATGGTTTTCCTTCTGATAAATGAATTTACTTGAATCAAGAGCTTCATTGGTTGTTTTTATAATTTTTACCAACCTTCAGTTTTTGTATTGGTGGATAGTGTGACATCCTTACTAGGTTAGTGTAACTCACCATTTCATTAACTATTTCAGATAAAGAGGATCAAGATTCAGATCCCGATCAACAAGAAGGTTGTGAATAGTTCACTACCCGGATTCCTTTTAAAAGTTAGTGAAGGTCGTCCTAAAATACTTAGTTATTTGTCTTTTTTTTATTTCTTTAATTTTTTTTTTATTTTTTAAAAAGAGACATTCTCGTAACTCTATTGGGCATTCTAAATTATTGTATAATGAATGTAAATCCTAAACTTTATTATTTCGCTTATGTATTTAAATTATGATTTTATTTCCTTTTAAGTTCTGGACCTTTACAATCATATTTCTAAATTGTAAAGTCTTCTCTTTTATGTTCCTGGGCTTTGATGTTGGTGTGTTTATCCATGAACGGTACCTTGTTTCGTCCCCAAGCTTGGAATTGTCCTACTCTGTTTAGAGCGGTGTCCACTTGATAACCCTCCTAAGATGTTGTCAAGTCCATCTCACTTCCCTCGTCCATGTTCACATTCACCGTCTGTTCTGCACACTCCTGTCCTTATAGAGGTGGTTCAACGGGTTCCTTTCTTATCCTGACCTTTTTAGTCGACCGGTTATCATCCGGGCACGGCGGAGCCTCGCCATTTTCATTGAGACAAAATATCATTAAGAGAAATCATATATATATTTTTTTTGTGGGAGTACAAAAAATTAGAGTACTTTTTAACTTAATATAATTAATTATTAATAATAATCATGACTAGCTAAGTATTTCTTTATGCTGCGTATGTTTTGTTTGTTTAGTATTTTTATCTACCATTTGTTTATTTTATTGTCCACTTTGAATTTTATTTATTAATTGTGTTATAAAATTTGTCAAGAGTGTTTTTCGATATCTTCAATTGTGTTAATATATTTATTATAAATAAAAGATATAAATATATTTTTATTATATTTATTGTTTAATGAATGAATTATCCCCCCCAAAAGATCATAATATCTAATAGTTGATTTCCACTATTAGAGTAGGTGGTAACTACCATTTAGACACATATAAGTCATTGTCTTCTTATCCAAATTCATATATCCTTTAGATACTTTGTGATATCTCTACATCAAATGACACTGTGTAGTGTTATTTAGCTATATATATATATTTAATGAAAATAATAATATCTATTTTAGGAAAATTTATTATTATTTTTTACTTGAATGGTAAAAAAAAGCTGATGATTATTAATCTTATTGTTATAGATTTTAGAAAGAATATAAGGAGGAAGTCAAATAAACTTCACTGATGTATTGGAATGAAACAAGTAGTTGTTATATAAATAAAATTAAGCTCCCAATTTTTGTGTGTTTATAGTTGTCTTCAGCGACGAATACAAGACTATCTACATGCAAACCCTGTTTGTAAATATATACCTCATAAACCTTGAGAGTCAAAAATAGTCAACCATTATATGCCCTGGGTCATCTTCAAAACCCGTGAAAGCCATATGGGCGTGGGCCAAACCGGCAATCTCCCATTTTACACTCTAATAAATCTTTCTTAATCAGTTTTATATAAATTAAAAATTAGACACGCACGTATACAATTCTTTGGATTGTGTAGGTTCCATTATTTAAATTGTATGGACAAAGCTTAAAGCAGAGGAATAACAAGTTTGGACCTTCCATACATAATTAATAAACTAATATCATCTTACATATACATATATATATATATATATATATTCTTTATTTCTTTCTTTTAATTGGTGGATTGAAAATTCTAATTTAATAAAATAACAACATTAAATGTATAAATTATAACTAATTTTTAATTATTAAATAACTAACATTTAAAAATTAAATGAAAATAAAATAAACTTAAAAATTGAGACATCGCAGAGTGCATAATGAAATTTTATAAAAAAACATGATTTTGAAAGAAAAATCGAAAGAATATGGCTTCGAAACATTGTGGGGTGCTCATAAATTAAGAATAGGAGAATTTATTTGTATTCTTTAATTTTATTAATTTAAAAATTATGTTGTATTACAAATATAAAACTCAACATAATATATTTATAAGAAATTACGAAATGGATTTATAATCAACATATGTTATTTATATATATTTTTATAGTGAACAATATGAATTTATTATTATTTTGAACCTTTAATACTAAACTCATAGTGTTTCTATATATATAAAGATTATATATATGCATATAAAAGTGGGGCAAGGGGAAGAAAGGCCATGCCACCTAGGCCTCTAGTTTTCGATATTAATTAAAATAATTTATTTTAAAATTTACCAAAATTAATTGAAGAAATGGATACCCTACAAGTTCAAATTGTATTTAGTTTGATAAACAAACAAACTCTTTTAGGTGGTGCTAAAAACTCCATTGAATAAATGGTTCAATTGTCGGAGGACTAATCAAGAACAACAAGTGAGTGAGTTTCAATATTCATGGTTAATGTTAGAATCGATTAATCAAATATAAAAGAGATTCAAAAAAAAAAATAAAATTAAAAGAATTGAATATAACATGGAATTAAGGATTTTAAAATGTTAAATGCCCAATGAACCTATGATGAGTAATTTATATATACTCATATATTTATATAATACTAGCGACATAAAACAAAAAGTTAAAATAGTGGTGCATGTAACATGTGTAGCCCCCCACCCCAAAGTTTCATTAAATAATAATAATAATGATTAAAGGAAAGAAAAGAAAAAAATAATAATAATAATAAAAGTAATATGGAGTCTAAGCCAAACTGAACTCCTTCCTTAATTAACTAACAATTAGTCCATAATGTCGTCATTCTGGTTGACTCACCAAACACTTGTCATTTCCACTCACTCACACAAACCCCTTCACGCACTTAAATGTCGTCACTCTCTCCCATAACCCTATATATATTCACACTTCTCTTCCTCTCCTCTCCTCTCCATACATAATTCAATTCCATCTCACCCACCATCCTCTCTCTTCTCAAACCATGTCAGGGTTTATCAACAACCTCTTCTTCTTCTTCCTCCTCCTCCTCCTTCTTCTTCCTCTTTTAGTCTCTGCAGACTCAGGCTGCGAATCCGAGAACCTCACAGGGGATACCGCCAAGGCTTTGAAATACAAAGTTGTTGCGATATCCACAATCTTGTTAGCAGGCGCTATAGGAGTTTGCCTTCCAATTCTTGGGAAGAAAATCCAAACTTTTCGGCCCGAAAACAATATTTTCTTCTTCGTAAAAGCTTTTGCGGCTGGTGTTATTCTTGCCACCGGTTTTGTCCACATTCTACCTGATGCCTACGAGAGTTTGACAAGTCCTTGTCTTGCTCAAAATCCTTGGGGCAATTTTCCCTTTGCAGGGTTTATCGCCATGCTTTCCGCTATGCTTACTCTCATGATTGATTCATCCGCTACCGGTTGGTTTAGTCGCTCGCACTTCAAGAAACCCTCGCCTGTACTCAATTATGGTGATGAGGAGAATGGAGACGAACATGAAGGTCATGTTCATGTTCACACGCATCCCACTCATGGCCATGCTCATGGATCTGCTGCCTTTATATCACAAGACTTTGATCTTATCAGACACAAAATTGTATCCCAGGTAATTAAATTTTGTTTGGGTCAGATTTAGCAAGCTTGTTGATATTTGGAATAACGGTGGATTTGCATGCAGGTACTGGAGTTGGGCATAGTGGTTCATTCAGTGATAATTGGGATTTCTTTGGGTGCTTCTCAAAGTGCAAAAACAATACGACCTCTTGTAGCCGCATTGACCTTTCATCAGCTGTTTGAAGGAATGGGTCTAGGGGGTTGTATCTCTCAGGCCAAATTCCAAACAAAGGCGATTATAATCATGGTGGGTTTCTTCTCACTCACCACTCCTGTTGGTATTGCAATTGGAATCGGAATATCAGAAATCTACAACGAAAACAGCCCAACAGCCCTCATTGTTGAAGGAATTCTCAATTCTGCATCTGCTGGGATTTTAATTTACATGGCTTTGGTTGATCTTCTTGCGGCAGATTTCATGAATCCCAAAATGCAAGCCAGCTTCACCTTGCAACTTGGAAGTAATCTTTCACTTCTTCTGGGTGCTGGATCTATGTCTTTATTGGCTAAATGGGCCTAATGTTTCTCTTTCTTTTTCTTTTATTTTCTTCTTGTAAGCAAGTAAATGTACAATGTTCTTTTTCTTTCTGTCTCTTAATACGCAGGAAAAAGTAAAGAAACTTATGATGAGGCACCACTGTTTGTTGGAGTTGTGTATATATGCGGTATGATTTAGTTATATTGTTGTTGGGGTTAAAATAAGTCTTGGGTGTATATAGTAATATCTTGTTGAATATATAAAAATCTATTGAGTATTAGAATTTCAGTCGTTGAATATGGTGGACAAATGCAAGGAAAGGGAGAGTCAGAAGCAGTTGAGAAAATAAAGAGAATTTCATCTTTTGAAGAAAGAAGAAGAATTGGATGGTGAGCATCCAAGGTGGAGTTGCTTTTGATCTCAACCTTCCATTTTCTTTTTAATAAAAAGAAGTTATGAACTAGTGGACGCAACAGTAACAGCTCCAAATAATAGTGAAAAGTTGACGGTAAAGATGAGAAATTAATTTTATTCACAAACTTGGTTTCTCATGTTTAGATTAAAAAGCATATTATTACAGAATGTTACCTTTCTTAAAAAAAAAAAAAAAAAAAGTTAAAGGCTATCTTGAATAGAAAGAAGAAAGTCAAAACATTTTTAAAAAACTTAAACAGATTTCTAGAGAAGCTCAAGGAGAAGTAATGATATATTTATATAGATACAACAAGGTGGCAAGAGTTTGTTTTAAAGAAAATATTAAATTAACATAACTTGGACACTAGTCTAACATTTGTGACTCATAAATCTACTAAACATCATTTTTATTAAATTAAAATTGAATATAGTTGTAACGATCTCGAAAATTTCAAAGAAAATAAATTATAAATTTAGTGTGGAAGCGAAATAAATAATTAGAGTTTACATTCTTTACACAATAACTGAAAGTACCAAATAGGACTTACGAGAATAACCATTCTAAACAAACAATTAATAACTCAGGAAATGAATTAAAAGTAAACGACTGAACTTCCTACTCGCAATTCTCTTGTGCGTTATGGTTCTGAATCTTGGTTCTTTTGATCTGAAATGGTTAATGAAGGAATGAGCTACACTAACCCGTAAGAATATTACGCTATTCACCGACACAGAAATGCAGGTTGGTAGAAATTATAAAAACAACTAATGGAGCTCTTAATTAAGCAAAATCGTTTATTATAAATAAAATCATTTACCGCCTACTTACCGTAGTGAGATTTTAAAAAACAACCTATAGAGATAATAACGTAACACATTTTATAATCTCATACGCAATCGGTTGGAACAACAATTTTCTCTTTTATAAACCCATAATGCGTGAACTATTTTCTTTAATATTTTCAATTAACAGGCCGTCCCCATACGCCGTCCGGTATGAACACCAAATTATTAAACTTTAATACCCTGTTCGGTATGAGGGTAAAATGGACCGTCCCCATACATCGTCCAGTATGAGTGCAAAATTACCAAATTTCGATACTCTATCCGGTATGAGGTAATGTTCATGATAGGGTTCCTTATGTATTGGGTTCGTCCACCATCTCTCAGGATATCCAGTAAGGTTACTGTTTCATCTATTCACTTAATCAAACAGTTTCCCAACTTCGTTTAATTTTCAGTTTTTCATTTCAACCATAATCACATGAAATAAGCAATATATGCATTCAAACTATAAGATCAATCAATAAAGTATTATCATGCATTCAAACTGTAAAATAAATTAACAGAATCAACAATGAATAATTTTTGCTTTTGACTCCATTAATAACCTGTAATTAATTATGAGTATTTTTTAAATTACATAAAATACCGTATTATTATTATTAATTATACTTCAATTCTATAACAGAGAATAATATGATGGATTCTTACTCAAATTGATGCCCAAAATGCTAGACTTGTTGACTGTACCTACTGACGGTCCCCGAATTTTTTGATTTTTTTTCAGAGATTAAAACGCGTTTTAAGTACCTAAAAATATCTCAAAAAACCTAAAATCGGTGTTAGAACCCCTTTTTGGCCAATTCCGAAATTTCGGCATGGTGGCTTCGCCGTGCTCCAACGATGGCACTGCAGCTACGGCGGTTTGCCTAGGGTCGGTTGTTTTTGGCCAAATTTGGCCAGTTTTATATCAATCCCTGGGATAAAACACGTTAAGGGATATCGATTGGCCGAAAAAAATTAAAAAATCAAAACTTATCCGTGGTGGGGTTCTTCAGTGTGGCAACTTCGCCGGTTCACCTTCGTGGTTGTGTGTTTTACTTCTGTCAAACTCTAAAGAAGAGAATGGTGATTATAATGGTAAAAAAATTACGCAGAACAGGGACCGGGAAGGGTCTCATCAGAGGCGCTTTTTGTATTTTTTCGCGACGGAGCTGCCGGACTTTACCCGCAGTTTTTGGCCAATCCGCCAGACTTTTTGCTCTAATTTGGGCATGAGGGCATTTAAAATCGAATTTCGAGCAAAGATGAAAATTATTTACCTCTTTTATCGGTCGGAAGTGGCTTCTGCACACGGCAAGTGGCTGCAGCTTCCTTTCCGGCGGCTGGGTCTTCTTCTCCGACGGGGCGGGAGAGGAGAGGAGGGGGGGTTTTGGCGGCTAGGGTTAGGGTTTAGTGTGAATCGGGTTATTTATGTTCGTTCATTTTAATTTAGGCCGTCCATCGCGTTTGAACTAAACCGTCCAATCGCGATCTGGAAGGTTTATCGCGTTTGAACTAAACCGTCCAATCGCGATCTGATCTGAGCTGTCCGATCGCATTTAAATAAGAAGTAGATTTGGACCGTTGATCTCGTTTAAATCTGACCATCCGATCGCGAGCATGCGGTTCGCCAGCGTGACATCACGTCAGCGTCCCTTGCCACATGACGTGCTCCGCTTCGTTGGGAGTGCTGACTGGGCGTCCTACGTGTTATAATTTTTTTAAATTATATTTTGACATCCAGTTTCTAATTTTTCTTTTAAAAGTACCTCAAGAACTCAAATTTTTACCATTTTTTACTAAAATTATTTTTAATTTCATCATTTACTTATTTTTCTTCAATTTTATATTAAATTAAAATTAAAAAATTATATTTATAAATTAATTTTAAATATATTAAATTTAATTGGGTATTACAATAGTCCAAATATATTCAATTAATCAATTAAATTTTTATTTATTTATATTAATTATCAAATAATATTTATAGAAAAATTTTGGTGTTTGTACTCTCACTCTGATTATAAAAGTAGTGTTGGCAGCAGTTGACATAAAGATGGTAATTTAGAGACAACAAATTTTAATATCTCTTTCTACTTAAACATAATTAAAGACTTAATTAGGGGTTAAATAATAATTATCCAGGAGCAAAGCTTGAACAGGGTGGTGTCTGTAATGGTTAGTGAATGATACATATTAGATATTTAAAAATTTGTATATAATCATAAACGTTAAGCATTTAATAAATAAATAAAACAAAAAACAGAATAAAAAGCTAAATACTAATTATATGCCAATGTATTTACATGTGTTAAGTCTATTTATTTGGCAACTCAAACCACCATTTTTTTTCTTCAATTTTTATACTTTTTAATTTATCAAAATTAACAATCACATTATAATAATTATTATTATTAAAAAAAAAAGCGAGAAGAAAGAGGAAAAAAGAAAAAAAAATAATATGTTGGTAGATAATTTATAATATAATTTTCTTTTTTTAAGTGGTTCCCACAAGAGGATTACGTGGCATCCGACTGGGCAGAGAAACCCCACTATAAGTACCCAACTTTGATCACCCTACGGTCATTCAAAGCCAATCGTGACCAACGGAATAAAATAAATAAATAAAAGCAAATTCAGAGATCCAGCCTCAGGATTCAGAGAAACAGAAACCCTAGTAATGAAATTTTAGATCACCCATCCCAATATAAGAGAGAATTATACAAGCTATTAATTTTAGGACCGTCGAGAGGTTGATACCCAGGGAAGCTAAATGGGGAAGAAGAAGAAGAGAGTGTCCTCCAAGGTTTGGTGCTATTACTGCGACAGGGAATTCGACGACGAGAAGATTCTGGTGCAGCACCAGAAGGCCAAGCACTTCAAGTGCCATGTCTGCCACAAGAAGCTCTCCACGGCCGGTGGCATGGCCATCCACGTCCTCCAGGTCCATAAAGAGGCCGTTAACAAGTATCTCTCTATCCCTCTTTCGAAAAACCCTAACCTATATATATATACGCACCTGTGTCTCTATCTTTTTTTTTTTAATGATTCTTTCGGTCAGTTTGGACTTGTTAAATCTAATTTGATTCCAAGCTTCGTCTTTTTGGTAGGGAATAATTTTGTGTTATTTATTTTTCGTTTTATTGAAATAATTAAGTTAAACACGCTCGATTGCTCTGGGGGTTAGTGTCATTGCAAATTCTTTTTAGTGATAACTCACTCACTTCTCACTCAAGTCCTCACTGCTTCCAATCGTTCATCTTCATAACAGTCGTGATATGTGAACATAATTTACATTTTTGAGAAGTTGAATCTGAATTTCTAGATGAAGGAATTCAATGTGGGAATGAGAAGAGCTAAACATGGAATTCAATTTGGGAATGTGAGTAGCTCAAACATGAAAGCTTATATTTTAATGAGGATATTAAGACTATAATAAAAATGAAGGGTGGGTTTACTCTACATATAACACGAATTGTGGATATTCTTTGTTTAGTTATTGTTTGCAAATATCTTTTCTGCATCTCGTTGCAAAATCAAGTAATATAAACCCTGTTTAATATCTGTGGATCATCTAATGAAATGTTAACTTTTTTTAAAAAATCTAATCAACTGTTAACTCTAGGGGGCCTAGTCATATATGTTTGGCATCAGTTGCCATCTAGTTAGGCACTGGTCTGGGCCTGCATGAAATGTGATAATTATCTTACTAATAATTTCTAACCCAAAGAGAGGATTACTACTTTAAAATTTTCTCTATGATCTCTATTTGGACGTGGTGCTGTCTTGTGGTGTCTTCTGGAACGAGAAAGGTGGAAGGGGGGTGGATGATGTACAAGTTTGTGATTAAGGTCATGTTCGTTCAAACTATTTATTGAGAATGAGTGTCGGAGTCGCTTTGTAAAATTATAAAATAATGCATGCTATAATGTTGTTGGTATCCTTCACTTGTGTTGCTACTGTTTAAGTTAGTAATGAGGTCCTCCATTTCTAGGTTTATTTTGTTTAGTTTTGGAAATTTTCCGGGAGAGATCATTATTTAGATTATGATCGGAACCATTATGTTTTTGTTTTGATGATTACTGGATCCTACTGATTTTATAAATGTGATATTACAGGGTTCCTAATGCAAAACCTGGTAGAGAGTCAACCGATATTGAAATATATGGAATGCAAGGAATCCCACCCGATATCTTGGCTGCTCATTATGGAGAAGAAGGTAGGACCTCGCTATTTTTCAATTATTCCTCAATGCTTCTTGTCAGTTGATGTAAAATGGAAACATATCTGAGGCAGTGTGAACAACACTTTGCAAATTAGTTGCTTCTTGGGTGGACCCAAATTATATTTTTATGTTGGATGTGAAAGATGACACATTATTTTGTTGAAAAAACACTGTCACATTATTAAATTAACCTAGAATCTTCCTTTTCCAATTCATTGTAAATAGTAAAATTGATCTTTTCTCTCCCTTTTTTTTGGTTGAATAATGGATTAGGTAGCATGATCTTTAAGTTAGAATGATAAATTTTTCTGTCTTAATAAATGATGGAGGACAAAGTGTTTGCAAAAAAGAAGAGAGTTAAATATCAGCCTCCTTGCCAATTGTCTATCAAGCTGAACTTCATGTCATATGAAATCATGATAAAATTTTATGTTTATTATTGTGTGTGTTTTCTTTTTTTTGGTCTGTGTCAATGGTTGTCAGGTTATATTCATGAAAGAATTTTTGCTAGGTAGTGAAAACTGTTACTAGTTGCTTTTCAGTTCTGGTTTCATATAGGTTTAAATTAAACTAGTCATAATGGAGTTATTGCACGTTGTCTGGATGATGTTTAATGAAAAACAGTACCTCTATTGTGGATTTGTGCATATTCAACTTTCCAAGGTTTACAACATTAAAGTTTCTTGCAGATGAAGATGCACCAGCAAAAGTTCCCAAAGTGGATTTTCCATCTGCTCAGCTCATCGGTGGTGCAGTGCCAGGACTTGGTGTTGCATATCCTCAATCAACTTTTGCTGCAGTGCAACCAATGTATGTTTTCATCACATATCGTTATTTGAAACTCACTTTTGCGTTCACACTGAATTGGTGTCTTCCAAAAGGAAATCCATGTCCAACTGTCAACTCTTAAATTTTTTTTACCTGAAGATTCTGACAGAAGATATGAAGTGAATTCCTATTGCATCATTATCACCTTCATTTTGCTTTTCAGGGAATTATCTTAATGTGTAAAGTTCAGGGGCTTCTGATCCAAGTTGTCCCTGGAGTTGAATGTTAAACAGATATTGGGGAGTCAAGTTAGCAAATCTAGTTACCTCCTTTTATCTCCAATTTAATATGTCTTCATATTTTTCATTAGAGTATGGAATGGGCTTTTATGCTGTAGCACATGTTGTTATTGTCGTTCCCACTATTTCCCTCCCCACCTGAAACAAAAAAGAATTCCTGTTGGGATATGTGTGCCAACTCAAGACTTATGTAGCATTTGGCTTCCTAAAAGTTGTAAGGCTGGACTCTAGAAAGTAGTGTAAGCCCTTTGTTTAGTGGCAAAAGGAAGGGACAAAACATCACAAAAAACACTTTCAAGGAACAAATTTGCTGCTAAAAAATGGTGGGACTATTTTGTACCACATCAAAATGCAAAGTTTTTCCAAGATTACCTCCATCATTACCATAATGCATTTGATTCTTTCTTACTATTTTAAGTAAGTGTTTTTAAGATTATATTTTAATTTAGTTTCTTAGAAATTAACAACTAATTCATAAACAGTTTTATCGATCAATAAACTTAAATTTATTTCAAGCATTAATTATTAGTTATCATTATAAATTCGAACAAATTACATTTATTAATTATATTTTTATTAGATAGTTAATTAAACAATTGCGTTTAAGTTAATTTTATTGTTTAAAACTATGCAAATTTGAATTTAGAACTCTTAGAAACACATAAATTAGCCTCAAACATTATTAGAGTATCTAGGTAATTATACAATATATATGTCCTAAACATAACGTATTTGTTTTGTCTGATGCATGCACTCCAATCACCTTTTTGTTTCATTTAATTCTTTGCAGTTTAAATTTTTTGTTCTGTTCTTTACCATTACTTGCCAAACAGAACCTCAGAAGGTGGGCACATTTGTTTCTCTAGACACTACATTCGCGTACATGTTTTTGCATGCTTGCTTTGTTGGATATCTCTTCTGGTTGTTTTATGGGAAACGTATGGGCAGGCACTAAAACTTTTTCTTAGATGCTTTGTTGCAGTTATGGTTCTACAGTACCTGTGCCCCCTGCAGGTTGGCCAGTTCCTCCTCGTCCACCATGGTACCCACAGCCTCCAACAATTTCTGTTCCTCCACCTGCTCCAATAGGATATGCTCAACAACCATTGTTTCCTGTTCAAAATGTTAGAGCTCCACCTCCATCAACTTCTTCACCTGCAGTCCAACCTTCACAAGTTACTCCTCCTGGACTGCCCTCATCTACACCTCCTGCTCCTGTGGCACAACCATTGTTCCCTGTTGTTAGCAACAGTATACCTACTCAAAGTTCACCATTTTCAGCTCCTTTGCCGACAACTGTTCCACCAAACTCACTTGCAGAAGTCAAAGTCTCAGTTGATCTGCATTCGGTTAACTTTACTGTCACAAGTGGCTACCATACCCCAGGTATTTAAGGTTTGATTCAAGTAACTGCTTTATGCAAATATTCTTTTTTGTCATGTGTTTGTTTACTCTTAAACTTTTGGAGATGTTTTAGAATTCATATATAGATATATGTGTGTATATTTTTGGGATATGGTGTCCCCTTGAAATCAGGTAGGAGGGTGGTTAGCGACAGGAATACAGTGGAGAACTGATTTTCTGTATTTGTAGAGTCCTAAATATTAGAAATGGATTAAATGGAACTTTTCCATAGCTATTTTCAGTAAAGGGAGAGGGAGAGAAGGGAAAGGAAAAATTAGTGATATCTTTCTTGAGTTATCTTTTGAAGTACTTTCTTGAGTAATCTTTCAAAGTACTCTCATTTATGGCTTAGTCAATCGCAAAAACAAACAGCTCTCTTGGCTTCCTTTTGTGAGTGGTGTCTCTGATGCACCTCCCTCCAGTTGCATTATCCCCTACTCTGGGAAAAAAAGGATGTCATCAACTGATCACAGCTGTGGATATCATCTTTTCTTCATTATTCCTTGCACTCTTTTTGAGAATAAAAATAAGTGCTTTCATGAACTAATAGTTTTCCTTGCACTTACTGCAATATGTTTAATGGTTTTTGTGGTATTAGTAAGTGCCTTCTTTTGTTCAATAAAAAAGTGCTTTTTTTTATTTTTCTATAATTTGCACCTTTTTTCTCCTTTCATTCCAATTATTTGATATTTATAGTTATTTTCACTAATATTCTCTATGCTTTCACTTACTGCAGGTACATTAGTCAACTCACATTCTTATGCTTCGGGTCCAAATACAGGTGGTCCTTCAATTGGACCACCCCCTGTGATTGCAAACAAAGCTCCTGCTACTCAACCTGCTGTCAATGAGGTCTATTTAGTATGGGATGATGAGGCAATGTCCATGGTTAGTTATTTAATGATGTGCAAGAGGGCCCCCTAGCAATTTGGCAAACCTGTTACTTCTGGTTCTAATATGTTGTACTTTGTTTTCAGGAAGAAAGAAGAATGTCGTTATCCAAGTATCAGGTGCATGATGAAACTAGCCAGGTAAGTTATAACTACCTCTTTAAAGTATGGAGTTGCTTTGAGCATCTAACCAGATGGGTAGGTGTTATGCTTTGTGTTCTCAGATACAATTGTTTAAGTTCAGTGCATTATTAGAGAGGTATTTCTATATGAATTCCCATTTGTTTCATCCTTTTTTCAAAATGAAAACAAATAGAGTGGAATATTTGAGCGTTTCAATAAAGTTTCTTTTGATTTCAAACTGATGTTGATGGGCATGCTGTTTAATTAAAACTGCCATATCTCCGGTTTGCACGCAATGCCTTCAACTGTGTGCGCGTGAAAAGATTCAAGTAGGTATTTACTTTATTTTTGCTGGTAATTAGTAGTCATTTACAATTTTGACAAGCTTGCTGGAATCGACCTGAGGGATTCTCCCGTCTATCATGACACTCAGTAAAGACGCAACTGTATGTATTTGCTCTTAAAATTTGGAATGATTTCTTATTCTCCCTATGCTTGATTCAAAAAGTGTGGGATTTTTGGGTTGGAACAAGATCATAGAAAGATTTTTGTCCACCCGTTGCATTTGCAAATTATTTTTATGATCGCACAGTGAAATCAGACTTGGCCCAGGTCAGCTTCTTCTGCATAAGTTTGCTATCTCCTGCATAGGATCAAAGTTTATTACATGCCGACAGTGAAGCTTCAATAATTCCTTTCTGATCATAATGTATGTATGGTCCTGTTTCAGATGAGCTCAATTGATGCAGCTATTGATAGAAGGATATCAGAAAGCAGGCTTGCTGGTCGAATGGCATTTTAGTTTAACACTGGAGGGGTTTGCAGAGATGCTAGGGGTTTGCAGAGATGCTCATTCCTCAGCAGGAACCTTACAATAGAGAGTCCAGATGTTTAGGAGTTTTTGTTGTTATTCTTTGAAGAAGTGAGGTAGGGGAGTCATTATTTTTTTGAAAGATTGGAGATTGGAGGATTAATCTTTCTATTCCTCCCTTCCCCCGACCCAAGAAAAAATGGAGGGTTGTCAGGAGCAAAAGACCTTTGGATATTATTAGGTTTTTGTGGATTTCATTGTTTTAATAACATGTTAGAGAACAGTTTTTGCGTTGTACCTGGAGTTAAATCTTAGCTTAGAAACAATGTTACCCCAGTAACTTGTTCTCATTAGTGTCACTGTTTGTTGCCAGAATCTGCTCTACCACATTCTGCTGTCTAATCCTGAAAGCCATGTTTGGGAGCTAGGAAAGGGAAGGAAGAAAAAGGAGAAGGTGTTATAGTTTCGTCCTTTTGTTTGAAAGGTGGAGAAAAAAGGAGAAAAAATGAGCCATAAGGTAAAAAGGGGGAAGAAATTTTTTATAAATTTAAGCATTTCAGTATTTATCCAACAAGAGGTATTTTTTATTTTATATTTACATTAAGAAAGGATGTGGTCGAGTTGAAAAAAAAAAAGAAAAAAAAGAAAAAAAGGGGGTACTCTTGAGACTGCAAGTAAAGAAGGTACTCAAAAAAACATTTTTGAAAGTTTGGCTTATACACATTATTATTATTATTATTATTATTAGATTAGGGAGATTAAGACTGCCATGAAGGTTGATTGGTTAGCTTATTAGGTATGATTATATTCAACACTAATTTAGTGGTTTGGTTTGTTGAATCATACTCCTAGTAAGATTATGATTATCACATATGCTTTAATAACCATTAATGCTTAGGAGGTTATGAATCAAGAGCACTGTGTAAGTACATATTTATTTATTTCGAGTGAGTCAATTATTTTTCCAATTTACATCATTCTTATAATTACGATTGGGACAGTGGAATGTATATGATAATTTATATTTTTTGTTAATAAAAAATGCAAAATCTCACTTACTTATGTATTAAAAACTGAAGAGGAGCCTTATCTTTTCAAATTTAAATTTACTGTTCAATAATAAAATTAAATTTAAGTACATTTTCAATCAAATAAAATAAAATAAAAAAAATTTATACATTCATAACTATTTATATATCTATTCTAATATTAATAACTAATATTATTATGAGTTATTCTTATTTGGAAAACCAAACAATATAATTTAATGATACAATCTGTTTGTATTATTACTGAATAGTTATCAAATTACAATTCTATTTCACCAAATAAATTAACCGATATGTAATTTTTTAATTTCTTTAAAGTTAGAATTTTTTTTTTTTTTTTTAAATGTCTATCCATCTCTTGTTATACTTTTTTTAATAATGAATATATATTTTAATTTATAAAATTAAACTAATAAAATATGACAAGAATACTCTTTCCGCTGGAGTCTCACTAATCGGAACGAAATGAAATCCGAGAAAAAAAAGTCCAACTTCAAAACCCCAACCCAAGCAACCCCTGAACCCCCCCCTCCCCCTTAATCCTAAAACCTCAACCCAAGCAAAACCCCAAAAACAGCCTGCAATCTCGTCCCTGCTAGAAAACTGTTGCCGCTTTCTTTCACAAGCTTCATACCAACACAACCCTCCTCTCTCTCTCTCTCTCGATCTTTATATTGCATGTTTTCTACAAATTATAAAATCTGATATGAAAGCTTTGAGAACTTTAAGAGCCCTGACAGTCCTGTCAACAACATCCCGCAAAGCCCGTCTAAACCCAACTCTTTTCCATCGATTCTACTCCGCCCAACCCCAGGAAGATGATCCTACCACTGCCCATGATTTTGGTACCAATAACTCTGTCTTCGACAGCTCCCAGTACTCAGTTCCTGACATTGATTTACATGACTCTGATAAAAACTCTCAGCAACCCACTTGGGATGAGAAATACAGAGCAAGAGCTGATAGAATGATCTTTGGGGAGGAGACCCAGAAACGGAAATTGAGAGTTGCGGAGAATGAGGACGAGGAGAGAAGAAGAGCTCTTGCTAAGGCCTTGCTCCAGGCGGCGCTGGAGAAAGCAGATGATGAAGTGGGGGAAGGCGAGGTGAAGGAAGAATACCAGAAGTCGCTTAATGTAGGGATTATTGGGGCGCCAAATGCCGGGAAGTCGTCTCTGACTAATTTCCTGGTTTGTTTCTTTTCCAAATTTTCCTCCTTTAGTTTTGTATTTACCTTCTTTTTTGTTTTTGGCTTAATTATTTTTGTTGTTACGATTATTTATAGTATTGAAGATGTTAATTTTGAATTTAGCGATATTGATGCTGTTTTGTCCCTGGAATACATAATAAATACACAAAGTTCACATAGTTTATTTAGAACTCTTTTCCCTAAAAAGAAAGAAACTTGAATTGTAACTGTGGCTTTTGATAATCCTAATTCCCAAAATTCATTTTGCTTCCCCTCTCCCTATGAAGAAAATATGATGTCTCATGATTTTTGTTCAGATGTCTCATGATTTTTGTTCAGATGTCTCAGTAAGTTTCCTTGTTATTATAGGTTGAGACAAAGGTTGCTGCTGTTTCACGGAAGACCAATACAACCACTCACGAAGTATTAGGAGTAATGACAAAAGGCGACACTCAAATCGTATGTTCACTAATGATTTTCTTCATATATTGACACTGTTTTATGTGCAATTTATATAATGGTCCTGATGTTATGCATGAAATGTATGGTCTGGAAAAAACCCGAAGTTTATGCAATTACCACAGAGGTAATGGCAGATGAATCGTGTATGTCCTTTACAATTCTGTGTTTTTCTCAAGCGTTTGTTATGACATTTGGTGTTCTATTAAATATTAATTTGAGCATCTTTAAGGTAAAAAATGTTTGATATTATGTCGTAGTTAACAGTGTGATAGTTTAATTTCATCAGACCTGATAGTTGTTTTTTACTTCAACTGAATAACAGTGATCTTCTGGTTTTTAGTTCGGCCTTTTTAAGGATACACCTTTGATTTTTCCCCATGTTGTGCATGTTCACATGACAAAAGCAATGCATGTTCAAGTGACAAAAGCAACTTCTGTCTAAAACTGTAAGGGCTTATTACAGCCAAACCTTTGTTGTTTGAGGATATTCAGTATATGCTTCTATTTTCTTTTCTAAATATGAGGTTAGTTCATGTTTTCAAATTTGCAAAGAGTTAAGTGTATTTACTGAACCTCAATAATAGAGAGACTTCAAGGTGGTTAAGTGGAAAGAAAGGAACAGGTTACTAGTAAATCAACTGTAAAAGGCAGTAGAATTGATCTTCTTTCAGCTTTGCAAGGATCAACCTTTTTGAACTTAACGTGTTGATAATTCCCTTTATGAAACTGTTCTTTCCTTAGATAAATGATAACTTGGTTACAAGAACAAACTCCTTAAAACCTTCTGCGTTCATTTGCATCTTCTTTAGAAAGGTGGTTGTGAACTTTGATTGTTGGGGCGCCTCATAATGTCTCTAATTTTTTGTGGTTAGGAAAAGCTACCACATCTTCACTTCCTTGAGCTTCATATTGTAATGGAACACAATCAATACATTTTGAGACTTATGGCACAGTAACTTCAAACTGGTCTTTTTGGTATTGCAATCTTGCAAGCAAATTCAGAAAGAGATCAAACTTGGCTAAGTTAAGTTTTCTAGTGGAAGTATGGCGGAGACAAATTGAGGTGATTAAGGAGGGTGAAAGGAATACTTGATTTTTTCATGGCATTGACAGTCCACTAGAGGCACAATATTCTTGATAAAACAGAGTTTAAGTGATGTAGAACAAAAAAGTTTGAAATCAAAACTTAGAAAATTTTATTAAGAAGCGAAGTAGGAGATCATGTATCTTAATAATTAAAGCAATATCTCAATATTCGAATAATAATTATAAATAGTTTACCTAAAAACAAAGATAAGTACCTTATTTATAGGTAGCAAATACATCAAAATAAGAAAGATATGTCAAAGATTGTCCCCATTATCCGCTCCTGGAGTTGAGTTCCCAGATTGATCCACGTCCTTTGTTAGTGAGGTTTGGAACCTCATGAGCCCATGGCTGAACTATGCGGAGCGAGATTCTAGCATGATCCCTTTTCTACTCTCTTCTGCAATTACAATGAAAATTACCTCATTAAGTGATGACATTTGTATTTTCCCAAGATTTTAACTCGTACTTTATCATATTCAGGATTTAGTCTGCTAGAAATTGATATGCACAGTTTTTTTTTTCTGAAAACTTCTTGAAACATGTTGTATTTCTTACTGCAATTTATGGTAACGCTGTGGTACTGGTCTATGTCAGCACCCTTAGACATGGTGACTGAACTTGAGAAAAAGAAGAGGAAGAAGAAGAGAGAAAGAGGGGAGAAACAGAGAAGAGAAATTTGAGGGGTAATTTTATTTCTTCGTTGATGATTACAAGCACATGGAGCATTTTATAGGCTTTAAAGCAGTAAAATCAAACGGCTTCTATGGTCAGAATCGTGTGGTCGTTTCATGTTGCAGCAGTAGCGGTGGGATTTATTGGTAATGACATCCGCGGCAGCCACGGGATCTGATGGAGTTGGTTAGGGTTTGTCAACCCTAATCCTAGCTGACTTCGATTTTTTACAAATTTGCCCCTCATTTACCCCTTTTTCTATAATATACAATTAAGGGTTTCGTGATAATACCCTTCCCTTGAGCATAATCTCGTCTTCAAAGTTGAGTTGTGGAAACTTTTTGTTGGAGAGTTCATTTTGTAACAATCTCTTCCAAGGCTATTACTGTGTTACTTGAGCAATGGTGTCTTGGGAAATATCGGTCTCCACACTTGTAGCAAACTGTTGTTGCTCTTATAGATTTCATCTCTCTTCCCGCAACTTGGGACGGTTGTTCATAATTTTTT